CCATCTTCAACAGGCGCTGAACAGAACAGCTGCAGCATCGCTGCAGCATCGCTGCTCCACTTTAACACACTAACGGTGCATCACGGCTGATGCTGTGGAAATGACATCACGTTAGCATTATTGGACAGTTTCTTTCAATGTCTTTCTTAACACGTTTTTTATTTGCATTTGAATTGTTTTGGTGAGGAAATGAAATGTGTCCTGGTGATTAAAGGATTGCTGGTTCTAATCCTAGGCCTGTCAGTGTAGCGGTGTGTGGAAGTACCAAAGACCGTCTTGCACCCTGCTCCTCTGCCATTGGATTGGTTCAATGTAGAATCTATATGTGCGTGTATACAACCATAACCACCAGAGCTCCTTCCATTAAACCAGGCGTGGGCAAACATTTGGACTCACAGGCCACAATGGGTCCTAATATTTGACACGGGGGCCGGGTCAGGAGCAGATAGATGGAGCGTTCATGTGAACTAAGATAAATGACCCATAAAAGTCAGGCATAAAAGCTAAATGCTAAAATGCTTTTAGCCTTTTGTACACCATTTAATGAGGGCGCTGTAGAGAAAAGGCAGAAATATAATGATAATATAAATTAATAATATAATTTGGACAAGTTTGACTGGCCGGATTAAAAAGCCAAATGGGCCGTAGTTTGCCCATGCCTCCATTAAACAGACATAAATACCAGAAAGCACGATCTTATTAGGCATAAAGCATAATAAATATTTAATAAAAAAATAAAAAGATATATTCACTAATATTTGAATTGACGTACCATCAGAAATAAGTGTTTAAAGTAAAAATGAAGAGAAAATACTGATACATGACCAGGCCAATATAATAATGATGAAACATTATAACATTTAGGACACACAACTGCAAAAAGCTGAGTGCGACACTACCTTTGTTTAGAACACGTTCAACTAACCTCAGAGAATGAAAAGAAACAAAGGCCTGACGTCGGTCAGAGCGGTAGAAGAGAACAATTCAAAGCATGAATATTCACCAGGCTGGACCTTTGTCAGAACAGAATTAGGACAGGAGTCTCTGAGAAATCACTGGTAGAAACAACATTAAGCCAGGCGCCTCAACTCAAAAACCGTTTTCTTTTCTTTTCAACTCAAATTGTGCCTTGCCATGTGTGTATTGATTGCATCAGGACTTCCAAGTTGGATGCACCCTAATCTGATGCAATGCAAATTAATACAAATCGGACCATCGTCTGCGTAACATTGGAAAGATACGCCATGTTTTCTCAGAATAGTCACTAAAATAAAAAAAAAGACAAAAGAAGAAAAGTCCAAGAATTTAACCAGTCATTGGTGCGTAAACAAAACCTTTTTTCAGTCTGGTACAACAGAACTAGAGCTGATCTGAGGTTTTAATAAAAATATATTATTTTTATCACAGTTTTTCTGTGATGTGTACAATTGTTTAATTAGAAAACATTTTGTTTGTTTGTTTGTTGAAAAATCGGTCCATCATGAACAAAAACCAAGTTGTTTAGAACATTTTTCAACAACATTTGCACTGATGAACGCTGTATGTTTCTCTAAAGGCATCACTGGACTTCACTTGGCGAAAGTGCCCGAGCACTAAATAAGAATAAAGACATTTTTGTGCATCTATTATCCTATTCAAACATATGTATTCAAAGGTAAATCATTAGTGAAACTTTGGATCTGCAAAGATTTGAATGTTTCTCTTTTACTTTTGAAGGTCCCGTCTCCTCACTATTATGTAAGATTGTACTGTGAGAATGCATCAGTCAAACCATCTTCTATAGAAAAATAAAACCTTCATGTGATGTAAATGCAGTGGTCTAAATGAGGGCAGATATTAATATGTCACATTTTTTTCTCATTTTTCTTTGAATTCTTATAAGTATTTCAAATCCAGCCGCTCGCTTTTACTCGTGACCGTCTCTTTGATAATGGTCAAAATAAGTTTACGCTTCAATCGAGTTTGAAAGTCCAGGCAAAAAAAGCAAAAAAATAAAAGTTTATTGTTTGCCAAAAAAACATTTGCTTAAAGTAATAAAATACTGGAGCAAATAATGAATTTAAATGAATTAAATAACAAAGCGAATAATGAAAAATTTGTTGTTGCTTTATTTTTTTAAATTTTCGGTACGAATATTTTATCAAATGGACAATATAACATCGTAATGTAATGCGCTATTGTATTTAACATTATTTCACTAGGTCTTGTAATAACTCATTTTCATTGGATTCCTTTGGACTTTATGCAAAGCTAATTCAGAATTGCAGTGTAAACACCTACCAGAGTGTTTTCCCTGTTTTTCCTTGTGCTGTAAACTGACTTCTCTGTTTTTGGTGGTTTATATTGCAGACAAAAATGAAAAAAATGAAAATGAAAATAAAAAAAAAATTATTTGCAAAATTTACGTTTTTGCACAATTCAGTGTCCAATACATTACAAAAGAAAAACAAAAAATGACATCAGAGACACATGTCCCTTTGATTGTTTTGTATGAAATTGATTAAAACAGATTAATCGGTTCATAAAAAACAAACAAAAACTCATCCATGTATGCATTAACAAATGTAACAGAGACACACTGAGTTTATTAACCAAATGAATTCTCCTGAGCTGTACTGTGACCTGTTCTAATCTAATATCTTCTGTTCGTGTCTTATTTTTCCAGCGATCTGCTCAGGCGGAGTGACGTCTCAGGAGAAAAAAGTCCAGAACGCTCGTCTCTTTCCCCCTCCTCTGCTCCGGAGGGTTTTTATGGTAAATCTGAAAGAAAAACAGAGAAGCGTTTTCCCCGGTTCGTACACCTCTACACTCCTGTTTCCTCTCACATCCTCTCATTTAAGAATTTCTTTTCGGCTTTTTTTTCTGACACATGAGTTCATGCACCTTTAAACACACGGCAGAATGTGCTTTTTTTCTGTGAAAATAGGTAATTAGGATGATCATTTAAAACAATAAAACACCGTCCTGTTCAGATCCAGGGCTGCTGATTTCATTTTGATTCACATCAGTAACATTTAATGCAACAATAAACAAATGATTAAATAAAAACAAAGATAAACCTAGAAGACACCTTAAATTCCACCTTAAATCACTGATAAGGTCACTGACACAGGTTATTTAAGGCGGGAGTACTGTGCATACTGTATGCACTTGTGTGGAGGATGCATTCGTCACATACTCCAATGACTTAATATTACTGCTGTCACAACTAACTCTTTAATAATGTTTAATAAATGTTGAAACTAAGTTTGTTTTTAACGCATGTGTACTGCACACTATATATCCAATCGTTGTATCATCCATCCACTCATTCATACTCTAACACGCACACTGCAGAAAAAGAGTTTTGATTTCATTGAAACGCTTCGAGATCAAAATTACAAGTCAATACCCAACATGTGTTTTAGGGCACATACGGAGTACAGGACGTTAGGGCTACAGTCTACAGCTGACCAACTGTCCAATGGATTGTGAGGGACATTAGACGTATTAATAACATTGAGAAAGCTTCACCCAAGTTTAACAAAGCAACTCTTGCCCCGTTCTACAACTACACAAGATACACAGTTATGACAGTTAGTCCACCAACTCTGTAAAGCAACACTTTTACTGTATAGTTACCGTATATCATTTTTCAATAAAACTCATTCTAAACTATTCTAAACTAACTATCTCAAACAATCATGATTAACTGTGATTAATTAAAACTGGGAATAATTCAGGCTAGTCGTGAATAATCTGTGGATGACCTTTGACTAATATGATGAAAAAATTAATATAAAATATTTCATAGATCTGTGACTCATTATAAAACATGTGTCTATCAAACCCTGAGAGCGTCATCAACCGCCAACAGTGACAGTGTTACTTACAGCAATTCATCTCAGCCCAGTTTAACTCTATCAAATGAAACTATGATAAACGCTGTGAACAGGAATAAAAACCTCCGGCATTAGACAACAGGAAAAAAAAAAGATGAAATGATAGCATACAGAGATGCGTCAAAGCTTAAGCCCTAGATCAGCCGTACGATTTACTGAAGCGACTCACCCTCTCCAGTACTAAAGCCCCTTTTTCTGAATGTAGCAATAACTACACAGACCAAATCTCATCCTTAACAGGATCGTTTCTGGGTCCGTATTAGCCCGGGACTTTTCAATGAAATACTGCAAGCATCATTTTGCTTTGCTACTGGTTATGAATTCAATTTTTGTAGTACTCTTAATATAAATACCATAGTATTTAAAGTATTTAAATCCTGCTCACATTTTTTATACAGATAAAAAAAAAACTGCTGCTGATGAACTCAGGCCCCAGTACAAAGATGGTGTGTGTGTGTGTGACCACAGATCACAGAACAATGATATGAGTATGAAAATCTAATTTAAAAAGGCAAAAATTAATATTTAGCCCTCCCTTCTTTTTAGTTTTTGCATGTGTGGCGGATGGATGAGTAGGTGGGCCGCTCGTTGTTTAGAGGGTTCCCTGAACCTCACCGTTTGTCGCTATCTTCCTTCCTGTTTCATTCTCTCTCTCTCTCTCTCTCTCTCTCTCTCTCTCTCTCTCTTCCTGTCAGCTGACTCAGTCAGAGAATCTTGATCTGGTAAACATCTACGGGCCCACCCACGCACATACGCACATACGCACATACACACATTCACCAAATGAGCTTCATGCAGCCCCACATAAATGTGTACACAAGGGTCAGATACAGGCCAGATCCCAAGGATGACCCTCAAATGCTGCAGGTCGGACGTTTTAAATTTGCACTTCACAAGAAAATAAACGTTCACCTCTCTGTCCTACAGGAGAGACCTTTTAGATATATATATATATATATATATTTTATGTCATATTTAACACTGGACTTTTCAAAAACGTTATGTATGGTTATATATCATCTATATGTTAGCTCCAGTACAGAACGGTCAGACTGCAAATATTTATTTTAAGTGTTTCTTTGTCATGTTACCTATTCATCCAAGTGCTTCATGTGGAATGTAAATCATGTGTAAAAATGTTTTTAATTGGATTTGAATGTGTTGTGTTTCTGTTCACAGAAACGTTCAAGTAAAGGTTAACCAACTAAATATATACACTGTTACACTTTGAAAACTCAAAGAAAAAAAACGCACAGGAAATGAGAGCGATCACCAAAACGCTAACAGCGTATGAGAAAACGTGAAGTCGTAGCCGAGAGATTAAACTGTAACAGGAAAAAAAAAAAGTAAAAAAGGACAAAGTTTGGTGCTGCGACAAAAAAGAAAAGACAGAGAGTTGGTGAAGGGAGGCAGAGAGATAAAGATAGCTTAAGGAGGGAGATCCGTCAGTGCTTGTTTCCTCAGGATGTGGTTACCACGACGACAAAAAAGCAGTAACATCACTGGTCTCTAATGACACCTGTGAACGCGTTTGTGTGCCTTTGTGCATGAGTGTGTGTATGTGTGTGTGTGTAAGTGTGAAATTTGAGGTGTGTGTGATAATGTTTACATGTGCTCTTGTGAGTTAGTTGATGAGTTGACTTGTGTGTGTGTGTGTGTGTGTGTAAGAAGGGGAGTTTGTAAAGGCAAAGTTAAAGGTTGACAAGCTTTTCTGAGTGACAGAGCAGCAAAAAGTCAGGAAAGAATCATGAAGAACAGTCGAAGAGCAACAATCCGAACCAGAAAAGAACTGAGGACAAACATGTGTGAGAAGGAAATCAAAAGCCAAGGACTGGTAAAGACAAAGCCTCAGAGCGTATACAGTGTATCTGTCTTCATCTCATCTCTCGTCGTTCTTTCTTTCTCTTTCTGACTCACTTGTTTTCCTCCATGCAGCAGAATGTGGTTTCAAGTAGAAACACCACCTCTGTTTAAAAGTAACATGTTGGCGACACAGTACTGTTAATGTGTTTCTCTCAGTTCTCATTAACCTTATAAAAAAAAAGTGTTTTATTTTTGACGACAGTGAAAAAAAAGTTGACCCAGAAAACATTTTAGAGACAGACCATCCTTTGATGGTCTGTCTCTCTTACCTTCAGGTGTTTGTGTTCCTCATGACCAGGAACTTTCTTGCAAAAAACGGACAACAACTGCAGAACTTTAACTTAAACAGCCGTATGGTTTATTTTTTAGATAAATGTAATGTAGCGACTTTTTATATGTGGCTCATCTGCAGACATGGGTCTCACACACAAATGTCGGCTACGCTCAGGGTTTTTACAGTTGCCCAAAATTCGATTGTGTTCACATTTTTTTTTTACAAGTATAATAAACCTTTTTAAATGGAAATAAGCACCTTGTAGAAAATAGAGTTTCAGCAAAATGCTTACATTTATAATGACTTAGGAACAGATTAATGAATCATAACGACATTTATAGAATTTACAACCGCTGCAGGACAGAATTCATTTCAAACAGGTAAATATTGAGTGGCTACTTCATGGAACATTTATTTTAAAAACACCTTCTGTTTAAAATATAAAACTAGTACTTTGCCAGTATCACACTACTTACAAGGTTCCTTTGTCCGACCAAGCCATATTTTACAATCTTAAATAAATATAAATTCACATTGTTTTGGCTCCCCACAAACTAGTAATGCTGCGGAGTTCTGCTGCGATAGTTAGGATCGCTGGTTTGTTGCTGGTTTTCACTTTCATTATGTTTCTTCCTTTTCTGTGCAGTCAAACTAGCCAACACAAACAAACATGGAGGACCTTTCATGCACCTTCTCCAACCTCCACCACCATCACAGTCATCCGTCTTTCCACCAGAACTTAGCCGACCTCCAGAGCGCCGAGCTGGGATATCAGCCTGCCATGGAGTCCCTGGAGCAGTGTGTGAGTCGAGGTGAAGACACAGCATCCACCGCGTCCTTTCCAACTTTAAGCAGCTCATCGGGGGTTCGAAGAAGAAGCAGCGCTGATGACAGAGGATTCCATACTCCAAGTGTTACCAGTGTGGATGGTGATGTGAGCATGAGAGGCCATCCTGATAGAAATGGCAGCTTTGGTGGTCATTATGCTGACGTCTGGTTTGGTGCTTGTAAAAAAGAAAAGGATTGGGACGTTTTTCAGAGCTGTGAAAGCCCAGTAGATGGCCTTCATGATACGAGGGATGGCTATAGCATTACAAATGGCGGGTCCTACTCCCTGAACTATGGCACCCGGGACGCACTCAGGCGTAAACTCAGTGGAAATGATTATAGTTATTCCCAGGTCAGCGGTGATGCTAAAAGAGAAACATTCCACCAGACTGATGCTAACTTGAACCATTGCTCTAACAGCAAAGGATCTGCAGGAACCTTCAGTGACTGCAGTGGTGATTACTGTAGGAGAAATTCAAGAGGGAGTGATTATTATGTAGAACCAGAAGAAGACTACAGCGCCAACTGTGGCTCAGGAAAAGAGCGTAATCAAGCTGCCGATGTTGATGTTCAGTGGCTCAATGTCTCCCATTTGAGTCGAACAGAAGGTAGATCTAGACGAGAAGGAGACCCGGGTCCTCCACCTATTCACAGTAGCATTGGGACGTACACTCAGAAGCTCGACTCCTTCTCTGAGGCTTTCCTCTCTCAACGAAAGAGAAGATTTCCAGTGATTTCCAGTGGAGAGTCCTCAGAACAGAGCTGGAAATCCGGACCAGGGAACGGAGAAATTCCCATGGCGGTGAAGTCCAGATACAACTGCGGATTTGATTCACACTCCTACTCTCCCTCCTCTTTCTACTCTTCATCAGGCCATGTCTCTCTCCCCTCTTTCCCCTCTCCTCCTTCCTCATCACACATCATGTCTTCAGTTCTCAGCCCGCCTCCCACACCTCACCCGCCACCTTCTCATTCCCCACCCAAAATGGACTCTCCTATTTCATTTGGAGGAAATGGACATCCTTTGGCCCAGGAGGAAGAATCCTTCAGTACACTGCAGTTTTTCAATACCCATCTTCAGGCTCTCCCACCTGTTGTGTCCTCTGGAATGTTATGGAAGTTCCCACTGCTGCCCCACTGTTTTCCACAGTCCCCTGGTGACCCCGGCAGCAATGAGAACAACATGAGATCTCCCCATGACGTTGATTATGGTAATAATACATGTAAAGTATCATGAACTCCAGTTTTGTGACTAGTAGCAGGAACAATACTACATTTGAATTATTTGTTGAAGCTTTTGTACCCAGCATCAGCACAAAGTTCCCTTTTTTTATTATTGCTGTGCCTTCTGTTTGTCTTCCAGTCCAGCATGACATCCTCCAGTCTCCTGATTCACTCCTCACCTCATCAACTCACCAAATGTCCTCCCACATTCAGCCCACGGTGCTCTCTCCCATGAATACATCACTGCGCATGTCCTGTCCTCCTCTTCCTCTTCAGTCTCCTCCTCCTCACCTTTTGAGCCTACACAGTGATGCAGCAGAAAAGACAGCTCCTTACACTGTGACCCAGAAAGTCAAGAATGGCCAAGCCACACCGAACCAGTCACAGCCACAGGTAGAACAAAACACATCTGCTTTTTACTAACAAGAAGAAACAGAAAATACAACTTTTTTAGGAGGAAAGACAGGCTTGTAAGTAAGTAAAGACTAAAAAGTGATTTGTGTGTTGTTGTCTACGTACCTAAAAAGGAAACATCCATTGGCTTTGACATATGAAGTGAAACTGGTCGACTGCCGTCATAATTTAGAGAGGTGTCTCAGAGAATTTCGATTGTTGGTAAACACAGTAAGGAGGGAAAATCTCATATCATCATCTCATTTGGTTGGCTTGCTGGTAACCATTATAATTGGACTGCAGGCCTATTGGCAGTAATGCATTTAGAAATAATATATTTTTTCTCATTTCCTCCTATTCAATGAATACTTAATTATATTCCTGCATAGCAAAATATATGTGATGATGTCACTTGTGTAGTTGTACATCTTGGTCACATACGGGCCACATATTGGCCATACTACTGTATGTTGTAGGCTAAAAGAGGTCTGAAAAAACCTCAAACTGCCCCAGATATGGTCAGTGTTAACACTCTACCATAAACAGAGGCCAAAAATGGTCTACAACTGTTCACACCTCAATTTTTACTGAGTCAGAAGAAAGACTGCACCACTGCGTAGCTGCCAGAAGGGGGTCTACTTCTGCGTTCCATCTATAGCAGGGGTGTCAAATTTATTTCCACCAGGGGGCCACATCGGCAATACAGTTCTCCTTGAAGGGCCGGTTGTAGCTGGATAACTGTATAGCTCAAGGGTCCCCAAACCCCGGTCCGTGGACCAATACCAGTCCATAGGTCATTTGGTACCGGGCAGTAGGACACAGTAAAAAATGTACTTAATTTTTACTAATGTACTTTATTCAAGGAAAATCCAATCAAATCCATTTACTGTCTTTATTTAAAGATAATCTGGTAATAACAGGTAACAGGTGGTACTGGCTGAAAAAAGGTCAGGGACCACTGGTATAGATGTAACTACTTCATAACAGACTAAAACAGGTTTCTGCAATTGATTATTTATTCAAGCTGCAAATATTGTTCATTGCAATTGTAATAAAAAAAACTTGGACCATGCTGAATGCTTTTTAAGCTCTGGCGGGCCACACAAAATAGCTTGGCAAGCCACATTTGGCCCCTGGGCCTTGAGTTTGACACATATGATCTATAGTGTTGCATTTCTGCAGTTTCACATTTTGAAAGTACAACATTGTTTAAAGAAATTGTAATATTTCATAGTATTTCTTCAAAAAATGTGAACCATTTTGGCTCAGACTGAATTCTTCAGCCTCCAAAATGTACTTTGTTCTCGCATATTGTTTCAAGACAGTTCGATGTTTTTTATTCCTACAGCAACAATCAGCAACTTCCATATACACTGGAACTCCCTTTCCCAGTGTCATTCACTCCAACAGAGGTCAGAAAAGGGGCCACTACACTCCCCGGCCCCTTCTTAATCCACTCCGCCAAGGGACAGGGCTGTTCTCCTCCTTATCTCTGCCCCGTCATGAAGATGATTACACAGCATTTGATGCAGAGGAAGAGGAATGTGGTGTGACACCGTGAGTAATTACTGGAGACTACGAAGAAACTAAACATTGTGGAAGACAAAGCAATCCATACATATTTTTTTAAATTTTTACTCTTCTGTATTTTTATATTCACTATTCCATTCTGCCTCTTTCTTCTTCTCTTTAACCAGGTGTGTCAATGTAGGTCATCAGTTCCAGGCAGAGCTCCCTCCTCCACGTTTAGTTGAAAGCGACGTGTCAGTCATAGACGTACCCGTCCAGGAATCCTCGAGAGAACAGCTGCTTTGGAAACCATGGGAGGAGCTGGAGGAGAGTCACAACTTACACAACCAAGGTAAGTGTCATGCCTAGATGCATGTTTCCACTCTGAGGTCAGTGTAATGATGTAACACAGTAGATTAGATGCAGGATTGTCATCTTCATAATCAGACTGAAACTGAAAAATATAATGTATATGTTATTACTAGGTTTTTATTCATATAAGGTGTTTTTTTTTTTTACATTATTTTAAAATAATAACCTGTTTGTGTGCACAGTGGAGAAGCTGATGTCATTGTGCAGTTCGAGTTGTTTACCAGGAGGGGGCAGTAACACAGAGCTGGCTCTGCACTGTTTGCACTCCTGCCATGGGGACATGATGGTCAGAGTCCTTTCTTTATGTTCTTTCTCTCTTTTATTCCCTTTTCCTTTATTTATTGTTTCATTGTTTTCTTTTTTGTTTGTTTGTTTGTTTGTTTGTTTTTTCCTTTCTTTCTTCCTTTCCTTCTTTCTTTCTTTCTTTCTTTCTTTCTTTCTTTCTTTCTTTCTTTCTTTCTTTCTTTCTTTCTTTCTTTCTTTCTTTCTTTCTTTCTTTCTTTCTTTCTTCCTTCCTTTCTCTCGCTCTTTCTTTCTTTCTTCCTTTCTTTCTCTCGCTCTTTCTTTTTTCTTTCTTTCTTTCTCTCTTTTCTTTCTTTTTTCTCTACCTAATTAAATTAAATTTAAATTCCTTCCATATGTATTCCTTCTCTTCAGGCCACATTGGAGATGCTGTTGTTCCGGCAGCCCTCACCAGCTGGAGACTACCATTATGCCGGTAACCTAAATATCATGCAGCTATTAAAGGCATTTTTCAAATAGTCCATGTGATTACTTAGTAATGTATTAAGTTGTGCATCCACTGAATAATGCTCTGTGTTCCTGTTCGGTCATGTGACATGTCATTTTAATACTTTTAACATTCTTTCCTGGTTATGAGTCAGACCTTGCTGCAAATTTGGATAGCTTAAAATATTCTGATCCTGGAGACAGGTTATTATTTGATGTGTGTTCTTCCTGTTTAAGAGGAAGAAAAGTCTATTGAGACAAAAACCAGTAATTACAACTTTACAGCTTCATCAACAGAAGGAAACACCCCTTTACATATGAAGTTACCCATGTATTGTTATAGGTGGTACTGCTTTATAATGCGTTATACTTTGATGCTTTCATTTAGTTTTTATTTACACAGTGCAAATCGACATTGCTTTCTTTATTAAACATTGCCGTCATCTCATTTGGTTGGCTTGCTGGTAACCATTATGATTGGACTGCAGCCCTATTTGTAGTAATGCAGTTAGAAATAGTATATTTTTTTCTCATTTCCTCCTATTCAACAAATACTTAATTATATTCCTGCATAGCAAAATATTTGTGATGATGTCACTTGTGTAGTTGTACATCTTGGTCACATACGGGCCACATATTGGCCATACTACTGTATGTTGTAGGCTAAAAGAGGTCTGAAAAAACCTCAAACTGCCCCAGATATGGTCAGTGTTAACACTCTACCATAAACAGAGGCCAAAAATGGAGAAAAGAAAAGTCTAGAAGGCTATTTTCTGTTCAGCTTTTATAAACCTACTTTCTGAACATAATTTACCACAATCCTGTCACATATAATGAAAATATTGTTTTATATTGCTATAGTATTTTTGTTGTTTTGTGGAAGACGATTGTCTTTGATTGTCCCAGCATTCAAAGAGCCTTCCATCTCAATACTGACCCCCTAAGTTAGTCCAGTTCTCCTTTGCTAATTCCAAACTTCCCCGCTCTCTTTTGTGAATGTGGGATGACCTGAAGTCACATGATCACAGTCACCCGTCTTATTTTCATTCACATATGTTTTCTGTCAGTTGCTCTAATTCCTTATCCATATTTCACTGCCAGTGGTAGCGTTTGGTATTAGTATAGAAAACAAAAGTTTGATATTTGTTTTCATCATTTGTCATGTCCTCTCTGCCCTTCCCCCAACTCTTTCTCCCTCTCTCTGCAGGGAGTGACTTTTGGACAGACACTGAAAAGAGTGTCTTCTCTGAAGCACTTAAATCTAATGGAAAGGACTTTTCACATATACAAAAAAGGGTAGGACAATAAGTTGTGCTTTGCCAGTTTGTCTGCCATGCTTTTCACACCTGTGGCTTAGTGGTTAAGGAAGCGGACTTGGGTTCGGAAGCCTTCAGTTTCGAGTCCACCAGCTGCCAAGTTATCACTGAGGTGCTGGCACCGTCCCCACACACTGCTCCCTGGGGGTTAAAGCTGCCCTCTGTTCACTTTGGTGATGGGTTAAAAGCAGAGGTCACATTTGGTTGTGTGCAGTGTCAAAATGACAACTAGTTCACTTTCCTTCCTTCCACCTGCACAGCCAGTATATACAACAAATGCAAACACTCTGCTGAAAGTATACAAACGTGAATTCAAAAGTCACCAAGGCACCAGTGTCTGTGTGAGTCTACCATTGCTCTCTTTCCGTGTGTCGTTGCTCAGTGGTGAGGCTACATTTCCTCAGGTGCAGTGTATTACTGTTTCTGTTTGTGCTTTTTACTACACCCATTTGACTCCCGGTGTCTCACCAGTCACTGCATGACTCACCCCGGTCCCTTCAAAGCAAGATTCTTTGCAAGTGTTGCTACAAATTCACTTTAAAGATTGGTAGCCTGCTTTAATCAAACCCTGCTCGTCCAAAACAACCAGGGAGTATGGAGGTCATCTCATTGAACACATTGGCCTCAGAGCAGACAGAGTGTATAATTCATGTGTGTTGTTACACTCATCTTACACAGTGTTAAAGTAATTACTTTGCAACCAATGGTTGGATAGTCACACACTGACAGTTTTATTTGCAGTACTTTACCTTCTGGGGTTTGAGTTTTGGGAGCAAGTTATACAGGTTTCTTTCCAAACACAGAGTATGTGAATACTTTACCTCTGCTTTTAATTATATTCAGTTTTATTTCTGTTCATCGTGACTTCGTGCATGAGGAAACTTCACTGAGAAAATCTATGTAACTGCCCTTGCATATGTGTGTGTTTGCAGGTAAGAACAAAGACTGTGAGCCAGTGCATTGAGTTTTACTACCTGAGCAGGAAGCTTCTGGACAAGCAGAAGAAACTGAGGGAGGAGAACGTGGACAAAGAGTTGGGGCAGCAGAAAAGTGTAAGAATGTATTTTTCACTCCATCCTCGTGGCACACTTTTTTTTTTTTTCACTCCATCCTCGTGGCACACTTACGTGCCTTACTCTCTTTCTGTTTCTTGTTCAGCGGCGTTTGCTCAGCCTTACTGAGTCATGCAAAGCTGTTAAGATAATAGAAACTGATAGACCAAGGTTGTTTGTGCTTTACTCTATCAGCAATGCCGTGTTTGCTTTGTCTTGTGAATTCAGCTTGTACTGCTTTGCCATCCAGTGTGCGGAATGCAGCTTAACCACTCAGTCTCAGCATGTCAGCTTTTGATTGGTACTGGTTTCACAGGTGACGCCCGTTTGTCAGCCAGTGGACCGGCAGTTTACTTTGGTGGAGGCGGGCTCTGTGCCCCCATTGGCCAGTTTCTTCCCCTGTAAGATCTGTGGCAAGTGAGTGAAACAAGACCAACTAGCTGAATCAACAACATACACTGGTTTCTCTGATTGGCCTTGGGGCAAATCAACAGATGGTTTTCATCTTCAGGTCTATTTTTCACATACAATCTCCTCACTCTCTCTGCAGAATGTTCTACAAAATCAAATCCCGCAACGCTCACATGAAGATCCACCGCCAGCCCCAGGAGGACTGGACTAACCGACGTCTTCAGCATCAGCTGCTGTCTCAGCGCCTGTCCCTTAGCTGTTCCACTAACCTATTGCCCCCCTCAGGCGGCCATTTGCTTCCACCTGAGGTTCCAGCTCTGACTTTTTCCTCTGCCAGCCTTTCTGACACATCAAGTAACACCAGCAACACGGGCAATATCATAACCAATGGAGGCACAGCTGCGCTCAGCAATGTCAATGTCTTAGATCCCAGTACTGCAATCACCTATACCAACATGATACCAACCATTCATGGAATCACCACCATAGATGCCAGTGACTCCAATCAAAGAGATCCCCACAGTGTACCACCTTTCCAGCAGTCATGGGTCTCCTTTGGACACAGTTCCGGTCCTGTGGCCTTTGAATATAACACTGAGGTTAAAGCTGTGACTGTGGGAGAGGAAGAGTCCATCGGTTGGCAGTAGTGCCAAAAAGCATTAGAATCACTGCAGTCTGACACATCAAAAACTGAAAATATATAAATTATATATATATATATATAATACATATATGTATATTTTTTTACTTTCATAAAGCTTTAAAGTAACTTGTTTTTTGTACACTTTACGTCTGAATAAATTGTTAAACATTAAATTTCAAGCTAGTTGGAATTTTTTTTCAGAATATATAGTTAAATATCTGGCCGATCCAATCAAATCTTTACCTTTGAAATTTTTTCTTTTATGCTTTTTGGCATTTATCTCTACTATGCCTATATTTGTAGTCTATATTTTGTAGTCTAGATTGTCCGGTTGATGGTTAAAATGAATGTGTATGTGTGTGTGTGTGAGTAGTTATTTGTTTATTTTTTTTATTTAAGATAGAAAACTGACTTCCATCCCTCACATGCTCACATTTAGTAATTAACCCACTTATGTACCTATCGCCTAATAAACCTTTCTGTAAGGCAGTGATAATTCTTGTACTTTATATATATATTTATGAATGTGGCCTATACATAAATAGTGTTAAAAACCTCTGTGTGAATGTGTAACCACCAAGGTATACAAAATGCGTGTTCCATTCAGTGTTGAGTGTAAAGGTCACAAATGTGTGCAGGTATGTGTGTTTGCTTCTTATCTTTTTATTTCATGCATGTGTGTGTCCTTGGCACATTAATTGAAGTCACAGTCTTGTGTAGATTAGTCATTTACATCTTTAATACGTTTCTGGCTCGGTGGGTTTGGGGGGTTGCTTTTTATAGGTACCATGACATTTCCTCTGTTTTAGCATATACGGTATACATAATGACATTTCCTCTGTTTTAGCATATACAGTCTTATATAGCCAATATTCATCTTTCAAACAATCAGTCTGTCTCTGCTGTGTATAAAATACTGATTAATAGTCACCAGATGTGTTTAGCCTTTACATGCTGCTACACATGCTGTTGATACCTGCATGCTGTTTGTCAGTATGCAGAAATCAGTGCAACCACTATTCTCTGTGTTTTCAGAGAGAGGTAGACAGCACGTAGATAAGAGGGTGAAAGGAGACCAGGTCAATGAGGAGGGAGGGAGGAGTGAGGAAAGAATAAACAGTAGTTACTGAGACCTTTCCCCTTTTCAGATCAGCATCTGTTCACAACCAACCAGCCAATGTGGCCAATAGCGTTTTGAGTTTTTTGCTTTTAGTTTACCGAGTTAAACAAAAACAGATTTTTTTCTACCAAAGTGTGATGCAGTATCCCTATAACAAGTACTAACAGTTTTGCAATGGTGGGGTAGGGTCAGTTCATAGTAGGAGAATAATTACTGAAAACTGCAAAGTGCTATGGAGCACACCTTTAGGTTATTAACCTGAAAGAATGTACTTCCTACTTTCTGTAGTTATACCTTTATAGACTCAGGGTCTTTTGAATGTTAAATTAAAAAAGGGTGGGGGGATTTCTTTTCTAGTTAAACTAAGTCAAAAAATATAGTGGAATTATTTTTGACCCCACGGCACCAAAGGCATTGGCAGTCTGGAGGACATTATGAGGGTAAAGATAGAAATATGCTTGTAAAGTGTTAACCTTTTTGGTTTTGTGTAAAATTGGCCCTAATAATAGTTGGCTACGATGTATATAGTGATGTGTAGTCCTGCCGGTTTTATTTTAATAACTGGGTGTGAGGACTAAACACAGGATGATGTTGCCCCAGCTTGCCCTGCTCTAATTAAGAACTGACTATGACAGATATATCTGCCTGGGCAATTCCTAGACTCCAAATCCACATGTATGACTTGTTCTTTTGAAAATATCCAACCAGTGAAAACAACTATGTTGCACACAAAGCTGCATGTCATTAGAAAGGATTTCTGAGTCAGTGTAAACAGTAACATTTTATCTCTAACATACCATCTCTGTGATGATCAAATAAAGACACTGTGAGCCCATACTTGCGCTGCACTGTTTGCCTGAGGAGCTCAAAGGTCTCTGGCAGGATGAACACAACAAAACCCCCTGCTGCATCATGTGTCTTACTGTATTTCACATATACAAGGTAGTGCAAGTATCACTGAGTCTGTCATGCAGACAGGGGGCCCCAAAAACATTCCTTTAGTCGGGGCCATTGTGGCCTGGCTACACCAGGGCTGAGGTGACGTAACATTTTCTGCTGCACTTGGCCCACTTGCTGTTTCTGACAGAAATGGCTTTGCTTCCCAAAACAGTGCACAAGAAACAGTGGGAGTGTGGTATGAATTACAACTTTTGAGGACAAGTAACAGCAGTAGATAGCAGTGCAGTATGGGTTGCGCAAATGATCAGTGAGTTTGACGTTCAGTCAAACAGCTAATGCACATGAGGCGAATGGAAAGATAAACAGCCTTAAGTAAGGACAATTAATGTTTTACCCCCACTGTCAATAACGTCACACCGTTTCTGACTGACCCAGACACTCAGACATGTCATTGACATGTACTTATCGGGACATGATGGGGCCGCAAACAAATCTTGAGAAACAGTCACAGATGTTTACGTGTGAGTGAGAAGAAGTCAGTGTGTGATTGGTTCTGTGTGTTTGAGCGACCCCTGTCCTTACGTCACCTTCTGCCAACAGAGACAAAAACCTGCCAGAAAAGCAACAACAAGTTAACATTAAGAAAGGAACACCATGTTGTTTCTAACTGAGGCTCACATTTTTACAGGCAGTGTTGATTAAGGATAACTGTATAATCAAGTAACAAGCATTCACAGCATCAGTGTTTTGAGACAGTTTGCAGTCTCCTGTTCATGGGTGATCATGCATTTGAGGCTATTGTTATGAGACTGTTGCTGTGAATGAACAAACTCAGGTGGTCCCACAGGAAGGCGGGTGGGGGGGTAATAGATGAACAGCTATGATTCAACATGCTCACAGTCTTGTTTGTCCGTGTCACCTGGTTCTTGAGAATAAAAGCACAGTAGTCTATTGACCTTCTTTAGACAAGGATCACAAAGAAGCATTTGTCTTGTTGTGTAATCAAACCCAGCTCCTTTCAGCTCTTTTTAGTTGTTTATTGAATGAGGGAGTTTTCCCTCTAATTCTGCCATCCAAACAATTTTATGCAGGAACGATGCAGGGGATTAAAAGTATCAAAATTGATCGAAAGGGTCAGACCCTGTGCAACTTGGTTGCCATAAAGTAACAACTCAGAGATTGAATAGTGCTGTATCATTCACAGGCCAACTTGGTTGACTGTGTAAATAGATCTTATGCAAGTGTAAAATAAAAGCATAAAGTTAGGTTTTTATTCGCCTGAATAGGAATAAACCCATACAATGAGAATTGTCAGATTCCCTCCATTATTTGCATTTGTGTGTTAGTTTTCTTAATATTTGGCATCAAATAGCATGAGGTATTGTACTAACAGCAGCAGAAGAACTGGACGTGACCTAATAATATGACAGGCACAGTAATACAGCAGTACTAATGTATGGGGCTTTTTTCATAGCAGGCATTTAGACAAGCATCAGTAGGAAAGCACAGGTGTGAATAATCACATTAACAACGGCTGAGTTCAGTTTAGCTTGCTCAGGTCCAGAGTGCATATTAGCCCCTGTCATACAGTACTGACTAAAATAAACTGAACACAGCCATCAATAATTTTATCTGTGACACCTGCACATGTTCTGATTTGTGTCTAGAGTTTAGTAGTCTCTTTCTACTATTTTATTACTGCAGCCTGTAACATCCATTTTTTTTAATCTACAAACTGGAAGGATTTTATTTGGAACATTGCTAAATGTAAGTATTTTCTTAATTAATAATATTTTAAAACCATTTTAATACATACACTTGTCTATGTCTGTGTGAGGCATTAATGTGGAATATAAAAATTATACTTGCTTACTATGGAATACAATACCCCAGAATGTCACCAAAAAGACTCTTAAAATCCTCCAAAAATTAATGCACTATACTCAATTAGAAGCAAGATATTTTTTCATTTTAAACAACGTCATGACTTAGGGTTTTGGACAGGATGTTATTTTCCTAGGCTTGCGGTTGTTGAGTTCTGCTTTATGCAATTGTACATAGTGTGTGACTTTTGATATAATGTCAAAATAATATATTACTTGTTCATAACAGTAAATTGTAGTCCATTTTAAACTTACGTGTAATGGTATTCAGCGTGTCATTTATTTTAAGTGTGTGTAAATATTTGTTATTTTAGGAGGACGGTTGATAAATATTTTATTAGTACACTGAGCTCTTTAAATGGTGCCGCTCCCTGCGTGGTGAAATCTCCTCTTCTGTGATTGGTTAAGAGCAGGGGCGGGGGTGTGTCGATTGCGTCATATCAGGGACGGATGGATGGTGGATTATAGGAGGGAGAGAGAGACAGAGAGAGAGAGAGAGAGAGAGAGAGATTAACTAACAGGGAGTAGGAAGCAGGCGCAGAAGCAAAACCCTGTATCCACCACTCGCAGACGGACGGAGTCAGCTGCTAGCTTCCTTAGCTCTTTAGATAGTTAGCACTTAGCTCCAGAGTCAGAACACCTTTATAACACAGGAGCAAGAGAGTGAGTGAGAGAGGCAGCGTGAGCGCGTGTATGTGTGTGCGTCGACGTGTGCGCCCGCTACACAAGTGACTTCTTTCCTTCTGTTTGCGTGTGCAAGAGTGAGTGTGTGCGCGCGAACGAGTGCGTGTGCGCGCACGAGTGCGTGTACCCACATAAACCAAGCTCTGTCCCTTTTCCTCCTCTAAGCAGGAGCAGCCAGTCTCTGCCTCTCTGTGTGTCTGCGTGTTTAGGGTTAGCAAGGAAAGTAGCAAACGTACACACACCCACACAGATAAACTGTAAGAGTCGACTGTAACGCTCGGTGTCCGGTTACTGACAGCAGAAGTCCCATCATTTACTGATACGGACACGCCAGCAGCATGTGAGTACTGACCGACAACGTGTGCGTGTGTGTGAGAGAGCCATGTGTATGCGTGTCATTGAGTGCGTTTTAGCTCAAACGAAACCATGGTTTTGTTAAAGGCTTTTTCTAAATACATTTGTATTAACAAAAAATGCCAGTGAAGTCCGCAGCTACTGCTTAAACACATTTTAATCCCCAAAACGTATACAGAAATCTTAACAGACGCCTTGTATCACACACTTATGTGTAGCCTACGGTAAGTCCTAATAGTCGGTAATTGTAAAACATTTATAAAAGTCATTTATTGGCTGTGGTAATGATAAAGGTAAAAAGTGCCCTTTATTATCATGTAAATATACTAGTTTGGCAAAATCAAAAGAGAAGTGCATTGGTATCAAAAGTTTTTTACTATTTCTTAAACAACTCCAATGCATTTGTTTATAGATAATGGTTGATGGTAAACAAAGCTACTGTTTTTTCCACAAGTTGTCAGAATAAACTTTGCTAGTAAATACAATTTTTGTAATCATTTTTTTCCACAATTAAATCTTTCAACTGATTCTACCTTTGCTTGTATGTTCCGGTGCAGGAACAGAAAGTTTCACTGTTGCTAAAAACAGCTGATTTCTTCTAGAAGTTGTCAGAGCAAAATAGTAATAATAACAAAACAGATTGTGTGGCTCACTGCCTCGTGAAGTTTATTACTCATGACTTTGCTTGTGATGACATTTTGTATGTTTAGAATAGATTTATATAAATAACTCACTTACTTGGTAAAGTCATAATATTCAGCTCTGTATTGCTGCCCAGTGTCAACCTACTCTTAGAGAGACAAACATGTAATAATAGAGAATAAAGAAATAGAGATGGAAGGAATAAACACTTAGACAATTTGCAATAAGAGGTTAATGAGTGGAGTTGATAAATACATTATTTTACTATTTTTGTTGTTGTGAATGTCAAACTAGACTCCTATCCTATTTTTGTTGTTGTGAATGTCAAACTATAATCCTATTTGGTTGGTTTGCTCCTGTGGTATCCTCATCACATAAAAAATAATTAATTAGTTTATTTCACTCTGACATTTTTCACATTTTTCTCTATTTATGGGTCAAAACTTAATAGTTGATTCAATAAGAAAATGACAGCAAGCTCAATAGATCTCACATTGTTGTTTGCATTATCTAACTCAAGGTCTTATATTTCACAACATAACATTTTCATAGTAGCTCACATTTTATATCGGTGGCAATGGAGCTGGTACCTGACGTTAGTGTGTGTTTGTATTATGTTGCCTGCTGCTCAGACTGAGTCTGTTTTCTCCCAGAGTTAAAGCCCTGGGTTATGTTGTGTATTGTGCCTCGTGAAATCAATAGTAATTCTGTGGAAATGTCTGTGCAAAATCTGACACATGCAAATTGTTTCATTGACTTTTCATATAAGGGGCAAACAAAGTTAATAACTAATGAACAGCTGTTTTTATACTCAGAAAATCTCTGTATTGCAAAGTCTGTTATCTGACCTTTGAACCTGTCCTCAAAGCAGCCTTTAGTCAACAGCAATACTGTTCATGCAGAACATCTGCCCCATCCTCAGAATGAGGCACGACCTGTACAGTGATCAGAGACAGAGGAAAGTTATTATCCTGTGCACAAATGCTGGTTTATTTCTAATAAACCAGCAAGAATGTACTCAGAAATCTGCAGGCACCAAAAAGCCTTAGTCTGTATTTAAGGCTTCAAAAGAAGACTGTGTCACTCTTTCACCTTCATGTAATACCAAGGTTATTGAAAATGGGCAAGGTATTGTAGACAAATCCATTAGTCTTTGATGAAAATGTTTTACTGACACACACTGCCATTTTTCATGAGTATTTATCCTTAAACCTCAAATATTTTTACTCAAAACACAGAAGGCAAAGTGACAAGATGAGCAGTAGTCAATGGACACGCAGTCCATGCTGTTTTATTATTGTACTGCAGTAAAAACCCATTACCTATGTAGGTACCTCAGTTCCAAATGTTGCTAGTCAGATATTCTTACATGCTGCATAGGTTTGGCTAAGTTGTTAGCATTCCATCCACTAAAGGGCAGTGCTGAGTTCTATGTATGTAGTTCTGTATATGGAATGTATAGGATTTTGCATGGGGTTTGCAAAAGAAAAATTAATTACAATTTCAATATTTTACTTGTGCCACAAGGATATATTTTGTATAGATTCCCTTGGCCAATTCCAATGGGAATGGCTGTCATTCAGGAATAACAGTACTTACACAGTACACAGTAAAGCTGTGAATGTGTTGCTCAATAAAAGTTCTATGGACAAAAAAGAAGTTTGTGAACCACTGTTGTACATTATAACTGCACATTAAATTGGTATTATAGTAGTATAGTATAGTATAGTATCACTGTACTTGCTTTTTATATGTAGAAAAAGTACTACATATAACCTCACACCAATAAAACAATCTTGTATTTCTCCAACATACTGTTTAGAATTTTCCACAATGGCAGCCTGTAGCTGTGGGAGGCTGCAGCATCATGTTGACACAGCTGGTGAAGACCTGAGTGACAGTCAGTGAAAGTGAGGAGTGAGGAAAGTGAGGAGTCCAACAAATTTTCAAGAAGGTGTTTAGGTGAAACAAATTTTCACCTAAACTGTGTTTAGTTGGGATGGTTACATATTACATATGGGCTTATTTATGGTTATTTTATCATAGATGTAGAATAATAATTATCTTATCAAGGTCTTGTTGTGGTTTATTTGTTTTTGGACACGTTTCACAGGCTGCTTGAGACATTGTTCACTGTTGTTGTTTGTTACACCCAGTGGGAAAGAAAGCCAGCATTAAAGACAACAACAAAACAAAGTATGCACATGTGTATCAATTGGGTTCAAGATGTTTTACCTCTTGTTCACTGTGAAAATAGTAATAGTGGAAATAATGTATTTTCACAGTGGTTAGCACGTCTGCCTCGGAAGCAGAGAGTCCTTGGTTTGATTCCCAAAGGGGCCTCATGCTTGATTGTTAATCCTCATCCCGTAAATCACTAAGGGTTAAAAGTGTCTGCTAAATGTGTAAATGTAATGAAAAGTTCTAGATCTTTCTCTGTCTGTCAGCATCCATACAATTATTTGATGGTTTGCTTTGTTTCTGTTATTCTTTATTCATACCCTCAGAAATCATTTGTTCTTCACACCATGATGAAACAATTGGGGCAAAGTTGAAGAACATTATGTGTGTTTCTGTGTCACATTACCGACCCTCTGTGTGGGTGGGTGTGTGCGCATCACAACAGAGCAGAACTTTGAACATCAAGAAGTTAATCACTGAACCAGAATACAGCTGATAAAGAACAAGTTCTCAATGGCTTATACTCTGCTTTTACATTATGTAGTTTAAGGGTTTGTGTTGAACATTATCCATCTGAACTTATAAGCTCAGACATCTTGTAAATTAATAGGTTTGTGATACTTTTAGAGTTGAACAATATTTCAAATAGTTAACTGCATTTTCTTCCATTAGAGTTGAACAATATTTCAAATAGTTTGCATTTTCTTCCTGATAGAGACTGAAATGTTGATTTGGTATAAACACATTTTCTAAATCCAACTTCAGTGTTAAATTAAATTGGTGAAAAATGCCAGGAATGGGAATAAATAAACAATTAAAAATGTATCTTTAGTTTATGAGAAGTTTAAATGATTAGTTACCTGATAATACTTGGCTTTTAGGTCTGACCAAAACCAGTTGTAACAAAGACAGCCATTGTGAAGTGTGATCTCTGTGTTCCCAGAGCCATGTAAGAAATAGATGAAACAGTTGAAATAGTCCTCTTTGAATAGTCTCATTTTTATTTGTTTTATTCAGGTGTTCAGCACCAGGATATGAGCAACCCACTGAAATTTGATGCCACATTTACATCATGTTGTAAAATTCCATTTGTTTTTTGTTTTCTCTTCAAGGGATTCCCCATCAGTGATATTATTGCAGGAACCACGGCTTCTACATTTAGTAATGGGGAAGTGTTGCCAAGAATATAAGCTTCGCTAACACTGTGCTGACTCATTGACTGCAGTTCACTGGCATTAAAGTTGCTGGGATCACTGTATGAGTTCTCATGGGCGAGCAGCTGTTGTTAAGACCTATATATCCTAGCACAATGAAAAACATCTAATAGAGGGAACCACCACGCGTCTTTGAGGGAGGGTGAATTTTGTCAACTTTAAAATTGTTCTTTTTTATTTTATTTTATTTTTTTATCAAATGTCTTATTTAGGGGCAGCATTAGACTTCATACATATCAACCAGTAGTCATATACCTATACTATATATATACTACGTATATATACCTATATATTGAACAAGTGTTTTATAATCCACTCTGTCTCTGTTGTTTTGCTGCTTCCTCAGGGATGCACCTGTATCAGTCTGGATGGTTCATTCAAATACTCTAACTCAGGGCTCACCAACGTTTTTTGAAACAGACTGAGAGGTCCTTCAAGGGCACTTAGTAATACAAAGATCTACTTGTTTAATACAGACTTCCTGAACAATGTAATATTAACCAGTTCTGGGACATACAATAGTAGACACTCTTCTTACCAACCTCATTGAACCCATTTGAATATCATTGCCAGTGTAACTGATTCAAAAAGCACAGTAACAGTACAACTTCTGATGCTTGTTGACTAGTTTTATTCTCAGAACATACCCCGCAGGCACCTTAGGTGGTCCACGGGGGCTACCAGGTGCCCCTGGGCACCACGTTGGTGACCCCTGATCTAAGAACATGCCAGTCCAGTGACCTAACAGTGTTTACTTTATTTAGGTAGATCAACTTAGCACTGACCATGCTAATGTCTCTTCTCAGTTTATCAGCAAAATGGATAGATGAGTCTCCCCATCAAGTGACGTTTTTATTGATATATATTTAAATAACATTTTGTGTGGAAACGTGGAAACTCAGAAATACAACTGAAGGAAAGAAGGATTATTAGTTTATATATGCTGCAT